GCTGTGTTTGATCTGCAAAGATATAATGACCGATGCCGTGGTCATCCCCTGCTGTGGGAACAGCTACTGCGATGAATGTGAGTCCCGAGTTTTAAAAGCGTGGCGGGGTGTGTGTGTGTTTGTATGCAATGCGAAACCCCTTTTGATTGTCCAAACTAAGATGGGAGCAGGCCTGTAAGGAGTGGGACCCTCCCCCTTTTCTGTACGGAAAGGCAGCCGTGTGGCAAAGCCCCTGCCTATTCCCCTTCTGAGTCACGGCTCTCTGATAGATCATCTGCTTTCCTGGTCCCTCTAACAGTCCACCTTCTGCAAAAGGAGAGAGTTTCCCAGAAGTCCATTGGTGATGCAGGGGCCTCTGGGACGCTCTGGCCTGTTCTGATAGGGAGTTGACGGGAGGAGGCAGCAGCACGTGAGTCTCCCATGCTCCTTGTAGTCTCTGTGGCTTCCTTGAGAGCAAGAGAGTCACACTGTGATCCTTTTGTGGGGCTCCTAACTGCCCAAGAGCTGTGTGTAGAGCCGTCTTCCAAAACGCTGCCCCCACCCCCCCAGGACGCAAATGGAAGGCAAAAGTGTGGCTTTTTAGTTGGACCAGAGAACTCTTGATCAAGGAGCCAGTTTGATTAATCAGTCACAGTGATGTTCTGATTCTCTGCATCACTTGGGGGTTTTTCTGGCATTTTTGCTTTGTCTGCCCCACCTGAGTCTAGCGCTTCGTACAGCAGGGCGGTCTTTTAAAGGTGGTTTCTAGTGGGGTCTTGGGCCAGAATCCTGGCTATGGCCGGGAGGGCGGGATAAAAGTCTAATCAATAAATAAATATAAATAAAGAGCCCTATGGAATACTTTGTGACAGGTTCCAGCATGTGGTCCTGAACACCCCGGCCATCTGATCGGGAGTGATTTTCCCAGTGGGCAAGGGGGGACATCTTGGGGAGGCCATAGGCACAGGTGGCCCTTTGGGTCTTGGCATTGGTGTGATCACTGTGGTGTTATGAGTGGATGGACGCTAGAGCTCCCTTTGGCGACGTGAGGGGTCCAGGGACTAATGCTTCCTCACTTAGCAAAAACAGCAAAAAGCGCTTGCAGTGGACCTAAGGGCGAGGGTCTCTGGGGATTCCTCGCTTTGCCGAAGGGAGTCCCCGCATCCAGAATGAGTTACGATATTATTCACAGGCTGGTAGACTGCTGTTGACAGTGCCGATGTGCACTGCGGGACCACTACATGGCCTGCTTTGATTCTTCACAGGTATCAGAACAGCCCTGCTGGAATCAGAGGAGCACACCTGTCCGACTTGCCACCAGACTGATGTTTCTCCTGACGCTTTAATTGCCAACAAGTTTTTACGCCAGGTAACTTCAGATTGCTCTTCCAGGTTCCACGTGTGAGCAAGCGAGCAAGTTTCCCTGTCAGGCCCTGCCTGGTGGTCTTGAACCACTTGGCTGAGCTGGGTGGGAGGGGCAACCTTTGGGTGGGCGTGCAGAGGGTCCCACTGCAGGGAAGCCAGCTGAGTATTCTGGGCCTTGGTGCCCTCACAGGCCTCCCCGCTGTCTGAACATAAGAACATAAGAGGAGCCAGGTTGGATCAGGCCACTGGCCCATCCAGTCCAACACTCTGGGTCACACAGTGGCCAAAAATACGAGGTGCCATCAGGAGGCCCACCAGTGGGGCCAGGACGCTAGAAGCCCTCCCACTGTTGCCCCCCCCCCCCAAGCATCCCTTGGCCCAGACATAACAACATGAGAGAAGCCAAGTTGGATCAGGCCAATGGCCCATCGAGTCCAACACTCTGTGTCACACAGTGGCCAAAAATACCAGGTGCCATCAGGAGGTCCAGCAGTGGTGCCACAGCGCTAGAAGCCCTCCCACTGTTGCCCCCCCCCAAGGACCAAGAATACAGAGCATCCCTTGCCCCAGACATAAGAACTTAAGAGAAGCCAATGTTGGATCAGGCCAATGGCCCATCCAGTCCAACACTCTGTGTCACACAGTGGCCAAAAATACCAGGTGCCATCAGGAGGTCCACCAGTGGGGCCAGGACGCTAGAAGCCCTCCCACTGTTGCCCCCCCCCCCCCCCACCCACAAAACAAAAGAACA